AAATATCAGATTTTTTTTTCTTCACAGAACATTCTCTTTCTTTCTACTCACCAATTCTTCCCAACCAGCTTGGTGATACCTGACATGTCTTGCAGCAGTGTTTTTCATCAGCTGTATCTTACCATGGAAGTCAGGTATTGCAGCATTTCATATGTAGCGTCTGGTCATATCCCTTCTTGTCACATTCTATTAGGTGTGCTGCCACCTGACTGGTGGCATGTGGTCACATTACAGCTCATCATTCATGTGTTGTTTTGTTTCCATTGACATTCCCATCAGACCTTGCATGTGCCCTTGTGACTTAAGAAAATGTTGTTGAAGTACACTCTCAATTTATATCAACCATCACTTCCTTCAACTTAAGCAGCCCTGGATGCTAAGTGTGAGTAATTATCAATTGCTGAAAATCAGTTACGTTCGAAAGTTTTATTTTCTCCACCATGTTGGTGGGGTGAAATCAAGGTAGAAAAAGTTCATAGAATCATTAAGGTGATAAAAGATCATAAGATCATCTAGTCCAACCATCAACTCACCCCCACCATACCCACTAAACCATGTTCCTCGGTGCCATATCTAGCCTTTTCTTGAAAACCACCAGGCACGGTGAGTCTGGATGTCACTGCTCAGAATGGCTTTATAGAAGCCTCACTTAAAAAGAGAGGAAAATAGCGCTGATGGGCATCTCTCTCTGGAAGAACTCAGTTTTATTTTTCTCAACATGCCCTTAGATCTGTGCACGCTCATGTGGACTCATGGCAGCAATGCAAATCAGATGGGGAAAGGAAGTCCAATATTTCACAGAATTCTTTCCAGTTCTGCTCTACCTGTGGTTCCCATGATGAACATTCACTTTACTGAGTTGCTTGAACATCTGAACATCCTTTTGTAGCATGCTTTGCAACACATGGCACTCCTCTGATGGTGTAAAGGAGTAAAACATATACCTGCAGAGCTGCTTGTTTGGAAGAAGTAGCAAAAATGTTGCACACTGGTAGTTTTCATGGGTTGAATCGATTGTTTCTTTGCTTTTCGCTTGTTATGCAGTGTTTGTAAATTGTTTTGGGAGGGGATTAAAACTCGTCAGTGGCATTTGAAAATAGCAGCATACTGACACTAGGTGCTTAATAGTTATTCCAAACATGCAGGCAAGATTTTTTCAGCAATCTCTCTAGGTTTCAGATTTTTTTTTTTTACTTTAAGTGGTCCCTTGCTCTAAATCAGAAGCATTAATTTCTAGGTAACAGGCACAGATGTCCTTCAAACCTCCAGTAAGTGGTCTCATTAAGTACTTGAGTAAAATGAAGGGTATTGCATCAGACAAAATGGATGAGAATAAAGAGCCGTATTGTCTCTTGGGTGGAGGAAAACTGCCCATGTTTCATGCCAAGGAAGACAAAGAAGTTGCTACAGTGCATAAGAGAAGTGCCAGATGCTTCCCCAAAAGCTTCCTCAAAAGAGGGGTCTTTCACTCTTCCAGAGGCTTAGTAATAAGAGAACTGTTTTTCTTGTTTAAATCCATGGTTACCTCAGTAAATAAAGCCTCCATTCTGAAGTCCCCTCAGCATGATCATTTTAGGGTTAGATATTTACCTTAGTGTAGCTGACAACCATAATGTTTGCAGACTAACTTACTTTGTATGAGTCAAATATGTGGCTGGATCTCTCTGCTGAACTTAATTCAGGGTCTACCATTAATACATTAATATTTCTGAATCCAATCAGCCGTACCAAAGCACAGATCAATTTGAAAAATTTACATTTTTGAGTTTTTTTTCATTGTTTTGCAAGATTCTACGTCTTTGGATGTGTCAAGCAATACAATTCAGAAATGATCTGTACTGGACATGTGCATCACTGTCAAGCTTAGTAAAAGTCACTACAGCAGAATGTGGAAATGCTGTGTTGGTATTTGAAATGTTTGCATGCACCTACACACACATCCTTTACAGGATTGAGTGAATAGGAGTAAGTTGGAACATGTATGGGAATGGGAAGGTGCTCATGCAAAATATGAAAGACGAAAGTGGAAAAGAGGAAAAGTCAGATTTTGCAAGTATGACATAAAAGTTGTCTTGTGTTATGTATCAATTTTCAACAGAAATGTGAACTCTACATTCAGTCTAAGCTGTTTAAGAGAAGGTATCTGATAATTTGGGGTTTTAATGGTGAGGATTTAAAAGATAATAGCAATAGTTGCGTTGGAATTAAACACCAAGCACTAGAAGGGACTGATTTTCTGAGCCGTGACCAATAAGAACAAACCAGGATGTGATTTCTGATTCATGATTAACAGCTTTTCTGACTTTGGTGCTGCAGTAACATGGAGTTCATCTTCTCTTTCTGTGGCATTCACAAATGGGTTTGGTGGTAATTTATTTCAGGTGCTGTCAGTTAAAGCACATAACACGTGAGGTTTTTGCATCAGGTTCCTATTGTAAATTGTTCCTGAAAGATCTTCCTAATCTTATTAATATTGGCTGATTCTTTGTATTAGGATTTTCCAGAGATTGGTGGAGTCTAAAGGATTAAAGCCTGAGTCAAGGATGACCTAGATTCTGATAGCTTTTATTATGCAAATCCTTACAATCTGAGGTCATTTATGGGAACATCTGAAGTTAATATGAGTTCCTATATTCAAGCACTCTCTAACATTCATAAGTGTTTCAGTTTCAGGTGAGTACAGTGCAGTTATTAAGTGTTCCAAAACTGCTTTGAGGCAGAAGCATACTCAAAATGTGACGTAGGATCCTTCAAAGTCCAAATCCTTTTGGCTGGTGCTGGAGGTGCTGGAGACGCTTTCAAAAAAGGGTTTTCCTCTGAAGTCCTAGTGGGGGGCTGGAAAGTTCTTCCCTGCTGCTTCCAATGTGGTTATTTCAAGAGATCTGCACATTGCCCAGAGTGGAGCAAGTTCTTGATTTCCCTTTCAGTTGTGTAGTGGAAATTCCTTGAGCTTTATTTTGTTATCTTAAGTGGGGGGAAAAAAAAAAAAAAAAAAAAAAAAAAGGATGAAGAGCAGCAAGAAATTAAAAAAAAAAAGAGTGGCTTTTTGAAACAGAATGATTTATACACACGGCCATTTTTCACTTCTGTATGTACAGAGTGCTCTATTACTTGAAGATCTGATAAGCAGAGAAAATTAATATTCCCCCAAACCTGCTCCTCGCCTGTTATAGTCCAGCTGTCCCTGCTGTTTGAGTGGAAGCAGGGATCAGCTCGAAGCTGGGATGATTCTGAATGTGACTCAGAGATAAAGGCTTTAATGCACTTTTCTTTCTGGTGGCTTCCCAGAGCTCAGCACCTGGAACTCGCAAATGGAAAAGCTCTCCTTTTGGTTCTTTCAATGTGCTTTCACTCCTTCACCTATTACTCAAGCCTGATTACCTAACTGTATTTGTTTCTTGTATTAATATTTGCCTTTTTATATCATGCCTTTCTTCTGAGAAAGTGAAAATAAGTAAATAAACTGAGCAAAGACATTCCATTTTAGGCTAGCAGTAGTGTAACAATTACGATTATACCACTATAAACAGAAGGGTTCACCCAGAATACTCAAAGCTGATAAGCTAACTGAAAAGCTTTCAAATTAATTAAGTGGATGTTTTGAAACATGTTTTTGGAAGTGGTGTGAGGCTGTCCAGCATGGAGTTGCGAACAGAGGTAGGACAGAGCGTGGGGAACCAGACTCACTATTTTCTGATACCACCAGCAGTGCTGGAACGGATTCTGATGTTGATTATTTTGCTTTAGACTGGGGTGATAGCCTTAGGTTTGACCCTTGTTAGGAGAAGCCTGGCCAGCTGGGGCTCAGAGCATCTCTCTCCTCCTCCCATTTTATGTGGACAGGCAGAATTCGCCATCTCAGAAGAAATCCTGTAGGATGGGGATCCAGTGCATCTCGTTCTGAACAGAGACATTTTTACCAGCTCCTTTGCCACCCCCACACAACGTCTGTCGTCTGCTCCATGTGTACCTCTCACTTCCTTGGAGGCAAATTGTTTTGCTGCTCCTCAGCTCGGCAGCACCATGTCCCTTGACATTTCCCAGGGCAGCAATGCTGGGTCCTGCTCACGTGCTTCCCAGCTACCATGCAGAATGTACCAGCAGAATGTGGGTTAATGGGGCAGGCATGGCACAGAAAATAGTCACTCTGGTGGAGTCATTAGGATTTGCTGGCAGATTGCCTGCTCAGTTGGTGCAATTTTACACTCATTTTCAGAGCAAGCTTAAAGGGGAAACCTCCGCTTGCTTTGAGGCTTCACAGCCAACAGGAGGCTGAGGTTTGCCTGCCGCTGCCCCCATCTCTGATGAACAGCTGGCTTGAAATTCTCAGCTATGCACTTACTCAAATGATTTTTTGTTGTTGTTTTGAAATTGGTAGTCAAGGCTATTTAGAATGAACGGATCTGTGTGGGTGAAATTGCTGTCTCCTATGCCTTGGCTTTCCAAAACTCAAAGAGCAGAGTCTGAGCTACAGTTGGAGCAGGAAGGGAAGAGAAAACAAAATAAAACAGAATACATATCCCTGTGCCTGGGAAGGCGTAGCTGAGCAAGTACAGCTATACTTCAGTCAGTACCATGCAGACATAACAAATATTTTAGGTCTTGGTCCTGCAACAGGCTTCAACAGAATGTGAAATTAATAGGAGCTGATGGCACACAGCTCCTGAAAGGGTTAGGCTATCACAGCTGCAGGATGCTGTAATTTATTACTTGTGTAAAGAGTTAATAAGAAGAATAGCATTAGATTAGTTGTCACACACAGGGCTGAGTCACGTATTCATTTTTGGGGGAAAAAAACCACACCCTGATATTATATTTAATTTACTTCATTGCTTAAAATGAGTTTGCACCAAATAGAATCTATTAATCTTTTTATCTTAGAAAACTTCTGATCGGTTTCCTTGTGAAATATGCAGCCCTAGTTAATGCTTTCTGATCTGGAATTAGAGGGTTAAATCTCAATCCCTCTCTGATTTATATTTCCCTCCCCTCCTTCCCAGCTGTGGACATGGATGGAAGATCTGCAGAAGGAGCTCTTAGAGGATGTCTGTGCTGACTCCGTGGATGCGGTTCAGGAGCTTATCAAGCAGTTTCAGCAGCAGCAAACAGCCACCTTGGATGCTACCCTCAATGTTATTAAGGAAGGGGAAGATCTAATCCAGCAGCTCAGGTAAGCACCCACCTGGAGGACAGGTGGTGAGAAATCTGCCATATGCTGTGGTTTAGATGTGCATAAATGGGGAAATGTAGGTTTAAGATTAATAGGGAGAGTTTATTAATTCCTTGCTTATTTATTATTCTTCAATTTCTTTGAGTAATGTATTGAAATTGCACTGAGTGATTTGTGTGGACTGATTAGAGTAGTCTGTGCATCAGCGTGGGTTGCTGCTTGACAGGGAGATTATTTATAGGCACAGCAAAGTGAATTGAAACAAATGTGTTTCAGGTGAATATTTTTAGTGGATATTTATGGAAGATTGTTAAATGGCTGTGAGCTGGGGCCTTGTGATTTATATGGTTAGTCCTGATATAAGAGAAGTGTGTTTCTCTTAATAAAACACGTGCATGTCTAACAGTATTCACTCTCCCATTTTGCTTGCAGCACCCTTCTATTTATCTTTGTCCATGTGGGGTTTGTTCATACTGTCAGGGAGGGTCCTTTCTGCCAGCTCTGCTTGCATTATGAATTAAAGCAGCTTGTTTTACCTGATTTGAAATACACGAAGTGACTGGTTCAGGAAAGTTGGAGCTTTTTGCTTTCTCAGTCTGTATCTGTAGTAGAACTCATGTTTGCAGGGAGCATAGGAAGCCTACTCCAACTTGTATTTCTGAGGGCTCTCTACTTTTCTCATTCACAGTGATTTTCTATGGCTCTAAGTTCATTAGCAGCAGTGGAGTTTTCCTGCCTCTAATGACATTTCTGAGCCCCAAACCATGAAATCTTTTGTTCTTAAGATCTTTATATTGTCATAGATTGCCCTCGTCTACCTCTACATAATGTCTATACTCTGTGTACATACAGAACATATGTCCTGCACCAAATGCAAGTCTTATCATTTGACCCATGGCTGTCAATCTCATGTCTCGGCTTCCCCAGTCTGATGTCTTTGGATCTAACACAAGAAGTGCAGAGCCGTGACAGGAAAAGCCAGAGGTGCCTATTGCAACCTTGGTAATGCAATGAGCTGGTGGAGCTCCACCCTTAGGAGCCCTGCAGGAGCTGTTGGATCTTCTACTATAACCATGGACTAAGCTTTCCTCCATAGTCTCCACAAGGAGAAACAGACTGTGTAAATGCCTCATCTTGCTGAATGTCACAGAGCAGAAAGAGAAAAAAGAGTTGTTTTGCTTCTTGAGACTAGGGTTGGAAAGAAAGGATCGGGGGAAGAACGAGATGCAAAGATCCATACATCTTTGCTAATGAAATAGTAGGAAGGAAGTGTGCTGTACTTAATATGCTGCCAGATGGAGGGGGCTAAAGAGAACACACATATGGCTGCCCATACCAGGTTAACCAAAGATATACGTGGCTTGCTTGCAAAGTTTAAGGCACCTCTAAGAGATCATAGCAATGATGGTGAAATATTGAATGAAAATATTCCCTTGTTGCTTCTCCCACCTATTGGTGTAACATTCCAGCATGGACACATGTGGAGAAGACCATGAAAAGGACCCTATGTAAAGCCTATCTGGTGGAGTTTTGGGATTGCAGAAAGTGCTTGTATTGAAGCAGTCCTGGTCTTGCCTGTCAGACTGGCCTAAAGGTTTTTGCCAGCACCTGAGTCAAAGAGAAAGCAGAATGTGGAGTTCTGCAGTGATCAGGGTGATGTTTGGGGCTGCAAAGTCAGCAGAGCATCAGTATGAACAGCATTTGCTGGAGAAAGGCTGCTGTAGTGGCTGCAAGGTCATGCAAGTGAAGAAGTGAATAGAGTATATCTGAGATCACCTATTTCAGTGTTAAAATTTTTAGCTTCAGTCATTGAAAAGCAAGAATGGTCTCAGTTTTGAGACTTTTTTGGAACTGGTATCATGCTTAAACATTGTGAAATGCCAACACATGTTTTGAGACATAAGTATTTAGCCAAGAAATGATGTTGTTGGGATCTGGCTTGTACTCTGAGCAGTGAGCAAGGTGAAGCAGGAAAAACATCTTTGTGCGGAGTGCTCCTCTACTTCTGATCGAGTTTAAGGCCAAAGACAGAGGGAAACATACAACTGCTGTCAGAAATCAGGAAGCCCTGCATGCATACAGTGACTTGCAGAGCTGACCAGTCAAGGTGGTCTCTGATCCAAGCATCTAACAGCACGGCCTCCAATGTGTTCCTGGGCTCATTCAAGGAGTGAAACGGAACTACATGAGAAAACATGAAAACAGCTATGCATGTTCCCTCTCAGTTTTTGTGGCTGTTGGCAAAAGTAAGGAATGCGCAGATAAGAGAAAGGAGAAAAAATTGGAATTGCTGCAGTCTTCCCTTAACACAGCATTGCATTTCAGTGTGTAGGTCACCCAGTACCTGCCATGAAGAGCTGTTGGAGATTGCAAACACTACAACAATGAAGAAAATGAAATACAGCACTTGTATCACTGTAGATAATGTGAAACCACTTTTCTCACTCTTCATTATTGTTCTGAGATGAGCACCATTCTCAGAAGTCAACACAAAGATCTTCTGAACTGTATTTCCAGAAGTGCTGCTGAGGGCAATAGTTCTGCACATGTGCAAAAGTCAGAACAGCGACTTGCCCCAGTGAGATGTGAATGAACAGTAACCTTAAGGGTAACAGTAAGGCAGGGAAGAGTTGCGGATCTTGTTTTTCTTATGGTAGCTCAGCATATGGGGTTTTGATAATGGGTACATTTCACTGAGCTTTCTCCCAGTTAAAGTACTCAAAGTGATTTCAGGAGCACAGTGTTCCTTCTGGACAAACTCAGCAGCAGTGAACAAACCCTGATTGTATGTTGCCTGAAGTTTATTTTGTAGATTTTTTCAATAATTTCCCTGCATTTTGAACCCTAATTTATATTCTTTCGAAGAATGCTGAGTATCTTTCATAAATTCTTTCCCAGGATTTCTTATTACCAATCAGAACAATAAATCTTGTGATGGATGCATCCAATATCAGAAATTTCTTTTTCCAGAAGGAAGTCTTTCTCAAACTGGACTATATAGGGATCTCAAGACCTTATCTGAGGAGATTATGGAAAAAATACCAGATTATTACATCTCATTTTTTTGTATTGCATCAGCCACTGAAATGCAAGTGTGGTTTGGTTTGAAGAGTAAAATACTTGAGGAAAAAGAATTTATAAAACCAAGTGTGTGTTTAGATCCCATGTGAGATCTAATATCTGCCATCTTTGAATAATTCACTGAGTCATTTAGATATTATATGAATAGTAATAATTCTGCATTTGAAAGAAGGCTTACTTCTTGTCCTTTTATAGAAGACAGGTGCTGACTGGAATAAGCAGAACATGATTGAATGTGACCTTGCATTAAGCTGCAGTTTTAAAATCTTTCCTTGTTATCTTCATCCACCCCTTCTATGTACAGCTCAAAGATAGAGGCAGAAACAGACTCTGTGGTCACCAAGGAGGTGAAAACACAAGACTGACAGAGTGGGGCAGAGACTGCAAGATCTGAGGAGAGTAACACTGGTATAATATTTCCCTATAGGCAAGAGGAGTTGCAAGTTCATGCTTCAGAATAATATTGGAACATCTGATCTTCATTGTATTAAGTAGAAAGCATTTGAGAAAGAAGAGCAGAAGCACATAGAAGGAGCAAATAATTAAGTAGTTATTAGCATTCTGCATTTTTAATTGTATTCTTAGGCTTCAGATGTTCAGGCAAATGCTTGTTCTTTTCCTCAATTACTCTTGCTGACAATGTTCAATTAAGCTTAAGTTGATTGCGTGTTGTTTTGATCTGACACTACATGATGGCAGTGTGCAAAGAGCAAAGCACAATCATTTTGTGCAATTTCTGGAGACAATTAGTCATTTTGCTAGGTGTTTACAGAAGGAAAATCCAACCCAGAAAGGGGAAACAGAAACTTAAAAAATTAGTAACACTAATACTTTTTGACAGTGCGCAGACTTCATGGGTACTTTTACTTTGCATCCCCAGCTGCATTTGGCTCCATTGGACAGCATGGTGACCTGGCAGCATCACCTGACCTTTGGCTTGGCCTCCAGTATTGTTCCCTGTGCAGTTTTATACACAGAATGTGCTGGTGGATTTGTTCCAAGTTCACCACTATGGCAGAAATATAGACTGATGATAAGTGGTGATGGTAAGGCCTGCTGCCTCATCCACTCCATCCTATTACACTGTTGGAAAGACCTGTGCACTGGTAGGGTATCTCATGGGGCTTTCAGGTGGTTTGGTTTAAATATGCAGGTGCCATCACATGACTTTGAGCAGGTTGGACAGAGAAATTCATTGCATCTCAATCTTGGTTTTGCTGAACTATCAAAGCCAAGTCTGGCTTCACACTTTACTTTCTGCTACTTGTTAATGTTGAGGGACCTTTAGTGGTACATTCAAGGATACATATTGGGTACAGTGAACTGCCTCTTGGTACCCAGCCCACCAGTTAAAGGGCTTACTCCCTTCTCTTCCCTATTTATGGGGAGTGTATTTGGAGCACTGCCTGACCTCTCACAGGCACGCTCATTTTCCTTACCTGAGTGGAAATACAACTGAAGGACACCATTGTACCATAGAGTTTTTGCTCTTTATTCTAAGTCTATCACAACACAAAGTAACCCAGAGGAAATCCCTATCTCCTTAGTCTAAGATGCTGGTAATTCTGATTCTATTAACCTAACTGAGGCAAATGCACAAAATTAACACTTAAGGGCCCAGGGGGCTCGAAAGCAACTCAGCTTGGTGCCTCTGGGCAGTGTGAGTGTAGGCTGGAGCAGGTCACTCTCTGGGACTGAAGGGGATTGCCAGCCAGGCTCCTTAAGAGAGCTGTTTAGGTGGATGTGCCATTCTCCCTCTCTCTGCCCCTCCAACCCCTCACAAGTGTGTCAGATCACAGCGTCCCAACACAAGAAAGGACAGTCCTCTTGTTCAAGCTATTTGCAGAGCTCAGGAGCCACACAGTTTCAAGAGTAGAAGAGAGGAGTGTTGCATACACCTTCCCTTGCCTCAGCCCTTTGTGCCTGGGCTCGCTTCTCAGTGGCATGCAGGATCACAAGTGTGTACTTCTTGCTCTTTTGCCTGCCTTGAAGCTCATCTTTAACCATGCTCTCTACCTTGCCACAGGGACTCCGCCGTTTCCAACAATAAGACCCCACACAACAGCTCCATCAGCCACATCGAATCTGTACTTCAGCAACTGGACGAGGCCCAAGTACAGATGGAAGAGCTCTTCCATGAGAGGAAGATTAAGCTAGATATCTTTCTTCAGCTCCGGATTTTTGAGCAGTACACCATTGAGGTAAGAGCTGGCTGCAAGACCTTGGAAAAGGAGAGTAAGGGAAAGGGGATCTGTGTAAACTTCTGCTGATAGGATCCCACCAAAAGTGGTCAGCACTTATGGTGTGTGTTCCTCCTGCCTACACTACTGGTCTCTTTTCAGGTCTTGGGGCATTTTAAATGTTTTATGATGAGATAGTCCTGAAGGAAATCTTGCAAATCTGTAGGCAGTCTCATGGTGGATACTGATAATTAATGGGAGCCTTCATATGCTGTGTTACGCTTTGTAAGTGTTTATTTTAAGGTATGGCATGATGAATTACAGTGGAATAAAGGGCTGGGAAGAGGGAATTTTAGGTGTTTTGATCTATAATTGGATGCGAGAGATATAAATCAGGGAGTAGCTGAGCTTTCCTCTTGAGAGTGCTAAGTTAGGTGAAAGCTGTTGTACAGTGCTTGTTATTAATGTAAATTAGAATAGTTAAATCAATCAACTGTTTTACTCAGTAGTTGTATACAGACTTCCTGATAGTGGGAGACTGTATCCCTTGTATGTGTGTATAACTATAAATGTGTGCATTTCAGATCAGCTAATATTGCTGTGTGTGCATTTGTTGCCCTAGGACTGCTACACTCACAGCTCAAGAGCTGCAATATCTAGTATCACCTGCATTTAAGTGGTAATATGTTGATACAATAGTGTGGCAAATGGTGAATGATTAAGATTTTAATTCAAAATATATGAATTATATGTGAATGCATATGTGTACATAGCTATAAACAGCACCTATGTTTTCAAAAATGGAGCAAAACATGAAAAACAGTGCTTCTGGACACCCAGAAATATATAGGCGTGTATGGAGAACCTGCGTGAATCATGAGTCATTCATAAGATACCAGTCTGTCTGTGTTTCACTGCAAATTCCAGGTGTGCAACAAGAATTATGCTGACTTTATGTAAAGATTTTTAAAAAAAACAAAATCTCTGTTTTCAATTCCTTTTTCTTTGTACATTGTCTTTCAACCAACTTTTGCTAAGACCTGTGCCATCATGGATTGCTTTACTGATGGGGCAGCTGAACATAAGGGACATGGGTAGTGGGCATGGTGGGACTGGGTGGATGGCTGGATAAGATGATTTTAGTGGTTTTTTCCAACCATAATGATTTTATGATTCTATGATCAGCTGATGTGACTGGTCCTAACTGACTCTGCATCTCATGCCAGAGATAGAAATGCAGTGTAGATCCGTTTGTTTTGTTTTGAATTAATTTAGAGTGTCAATGGTATATAATGGCATATAATGGTATACAAATGGTATATAAAGATGTTTAAAACTGGAAATACACTTCAGAATCTTCTCAAATCAGGTTGGCTAGAAAGGGCTTGAAGATCATCACTTAGTTGTCATTGTCTGCTATTTTTATCTGAATTCCCTCTGTAGAGTTAATATTACAAGGAAATCTGAGAACATGTTTCATAGGGAGTTTACAGGCAGATGATTTTTGTTAGAAAGCTCTCTCTTCTGAGTGGGGAAATATTTTTATTTTAAAATAATTTTTAAATTTATAACTGAACATGGAGAGAAAAATATTATGTCAGTATCTTAAATTTTATGCTGTACATTTATTGCTCAAACAACAAAAGCAGTTTAGTGGATAATAAAAAACGTAATTTGAAATAATATATTAAATGATACATTTATGCTGTGCATTTCAAATATCTGGATTGGCTCAAATTGACTCAATACCAACCCATAGGAAGTGGATTGCTGTCAGTTACCTCAGCCATATAATAAAGATTCCAAGTCAATGAGAAACTTATCAACATTAAGAAAATTACCTCATGCATTGCGAAGAAGCAAAAAGATGTTTTCATCCCCATAATTAAAAAGCAGATAGTGTTTCTGGTGGTTGAGTATTCTAAGCTTGTAAGAGAAAAAGATGATGAAATTTAAATCAGGAAATTAAATACCTTTTCTACGAAAGGCAAGTAGCTTGAGCTGTGACTGGAAATGTATTTAGGTTTTAATTCTCTATAATAGCCTAGATCCGGCATAGATTAAGAACAGTGAAATAATGTGTAGCAGTATGATTCTCAAATGAGTTTCTTCTTTCCTAGTCTAGCTAAGCCCCCTTCCATCTGTCCAGAGTGCAGTGGGTGCCATATTGAACACATCCCTAACAAAGTCTCTCTTACCCGCTGCAAACGTGCTAATCTCTCTCCTTCCTGCGCTCACACAAACCATCTGCAAAAAGTGGGCCCAAAGCACAGTGCTGTTGTAGTGCAGGCTCTTCTCAGCATGCTTAGCTATCAGAGGGTCTTAGTTATCAGCATCCTTTTTTAAGAAGAGTGGCTGAGGAGGTTTGATTTTTGACTCAGGATCTTCCAGCCTGGCTGTCTATGTTGCACATGGTGTTTTGTTTACGTGGGTTGTGCTTTCAAAACAAAGTTCTTGTTTGACTTGGGTTTTGAAATGGAAACTTCACTGGGTTTCTGAAAATTAGCCAGCAGATCTTGGTCTGGTAGCAAATCAGAAGCAGGTGATTCTGGAACAGCTGCTTCACTTTCTTCTCTCTTTCTCCCAAATCTGAATGCTTTTGTTCTCTGTGCTGCTTCTGTCTTGTTAATCAAAGTGTTTCCTGTTTCCCCTCTGCTCCTGTGTTCTCACCCTTAGTTCTCAGTTTCTGGAGCTCTTGGGAAGTCCTCCTGATGAGGACCCCTCCCTGGGAACCCTGGCGAGAACAAAATCTTGCTTCTCTCTGATGGAATCCAGAGGATTCCAGCAACTGGGAGTCCATCTTCTTCTAGCAGGCTAAGGGAAGACTACAAGTTAAAGCTCAGTCTCAGAATATTTGCATCCAATATTGTCTCTTTCCATCCAGTTTTTGTACCAAATGTTTTCTTGCATTCATTTTCCCTACTAACCTCTCTCTTTCTTTTTAATTGATAATGCAAACTTAGGGAAACTTTCAAAGTCACAAATGACAACAGACTGCTTGGCCTTTATATTTTTCATTTAAACTGTGTCTGAATGCCATTTGTTCTCTGGAGACTTTCCTGCTCATAATGATCTCCCCAGATATTGAAGTCCATGCCATGGACCACATAACCCTTTCCTTTGGCACCCCTACCTAGACTTGCACCATACCAATCTGCTTTGTAGCTGCCCTGGGTTATGAGCCTTTCCATAATCTTTTCTTCCTGACAGAGGTTTGGAGTCCAGACAAACTGCAGGATTAAAGGTACTTCGTCAGCAACTCACACTTCCATCTACTTAAGCATCATCAACTTTCTCTGTACTTCAGTGAAATCTGCCAACAGTTGTTTCATTTTGTCTTCAGGAAAAGTATTTTATGTAAAGGGAAGCCACCTGCCTTTCATAGAGAAGACCAGCTGCGTTCAGTTAGGACTTCTAAGGACTTCTGAGTCGCCCAGGCAGCTTTTGTGTTATACTGGAGTCAAGGCAGGTTTGGCAGATATGAATTTGGATACGAACCCACAGACACATAGCATGTGCTGCCTTTTCATTTTTGCCTTAATCTCATTATATTGACTGATATTTACACTCTAGGTTCTTGGGTTAAAGTATGAAATCCTAACTATGACAACACCTGGAAACCAGCAAAACAGAAATATGAGAGGGCCCTGCTATCCCTGTGGGAGGTTATTCTGCCTTGGGTTTTAAAACCATAAAGTGACAACCTGTTCTTTATTTAGGAAACCTATCTAACTTTGATGCCTGATATGTTTTATTCCTTTACCAAGTCATTGCACATTTCAAGACAAGACGGGATCATTAAGATTATATGATTGGACTTTCTGTGTGATGTATACCACAGCTGAGTTCATGCAGCCAACCAAGTAACTCAGGAGATTTCATGCAGTGTGAGTGTGGTAGCTGATCCATTGCGAGGAAGTAGGGTGTAAGACCCGAGGGACAATAGCTGGCAGGCTTCAGCAGTACTGCTGGCACGGCACTGAGCACATCATGTATATGGAGCACAGTAATATCCCAGAAATATAGCCTCACTAAAATCTGTAAAGTATTCTTTGTCCCATGCTTCAAAAAATAGTCGTTTGAAGGCTTACTAACCATAACTTGAATGAATGCTAATCAGTAAGGAACTGCTGGATAGCTGCAAAAGAAGTGAATGGTAAAATGCACTGAGTTGCAACCCCTAACACAATGAATGCCATCCGGAGCATAGACCACAGCTTTCAGCATATGTTTTCTTTATATCTTTTGTACAGAGATGATCAAATTCACCTATAGGCCACTGTAAAACTCAAACTGAGAACAGGAATGATCTCAGCTCATACCTGTCTGGCCACAATTGTTGATTACCTCCAAGAAAACTTCTCTCCTTCCTCCCCAGAGCTGCCCAGCTCCTTCCTTTTGCATGTTCCATTTCCTATAATGGATCTGTGTAGTGCTAGGCAGAGCCAGTCTCCTGTAGTGGTATAGCAGTGTACTTTCTGGGCCAAACATAGTCCTGGAGGGGTTCTGGGCGTTCCTGCTATACAATATAAATTTGATCTGATATGCTTTTAATCTTTCAAAAAGCACTGCGATCACTAGAATCTTCACCTGTTGGTTAACTAATTTTCCACCATTCTATCTCTTTGGCTCCATTTCACCTGCTAATTAAATTTGTCAGCCTCAAGTTCACTTGCTGGTTCTTCTGGCTTTTCACATCCATCCCTGAGCGTGAGTTTAGAAGGGAGCAGGAGCCAGCTTACAGACAGTAGTTTGATTCACTGATATTTACAACTCACTTGAGCCTTCCATTCCAGATTTATAACATTAACAGAATCTTTCAAGTGAATTAGCTGCCTGGTTGGAGGTACAAGATGCTTTATAGCCCCTCACTGACTTACAGCTGGCACTCAGAAGTGAACTTCTTTATTAGAAATAAGAGCTGCAGAGATTTTGAGATACACTTGTGAGAAAAGGAATGGTAAGAAAAATTTCCAGACCTTTCTGTTCATAAACTGGAATCTTATAATGACTCACACTGA